AGTTGGAACCCATGTATATTGCTTTCTAAAAATCCTTGTTTGCTCTATTAACCAAACAAATCATAATCTCTGAATTTTAGTCTATGTATCTTTGTATTCTACATTTAACTTTCTACTGTCATAATCTAATATTGTATGTATACAGTTCAGAATTTCAGCTGCCACAATTTAAACCAATGCAATAGTTTCCATTAAACTATTAGAATCAATCAACACATTCTTGGCATTGTGATAAGAGTAACTCTTCTGTTCTAGGAGGCTCAGAGCCAAAGTGGTGTTGAGTTTTAACTACACCAATAGTCTGGGTTACTGTATCTACCCCTCTGCCTTCCAAAGCATAGTTTTCAAAAAATTTTTATTGGGGTAAAGTATGCATAATTTACCATTTTAACCATTTTTAAGTGTACAGTCCAGTGGCAATAAGTACATTCACACCGTTGTGCAACCATCACTACTATCATCTTTAGAACTTTTTCATCTTCCCAAACTGAAATTCTGTACCCATGAAGCAGTAACTCCCCATTTCTCTCTAAGGCAGTGGTTCTCAACCTTCCTAATGCCGCGACCCTTTAATACAGTCCCTCATGATGTGGTGACCCCCAATTTCATTGTTACAAATTGAACATAATTAAAGCATAGTGATTAATCACAAAAACAATATGTAATTATATATGTGTTTTCCGATGGTCTTAGGCGACCCCTGCGAAAGGGTCATTCGACCCCCAAAGGGGTCGCGACCCACAGGTTGAGAACCACTGCTCTAAGGGCTTCTTTCAAAGAAGTTATACAGATGTTCCATTTGCTTGTGAAAGGATGCTGAACCACACTAGTCATTAGGGAAATGCAAATCAAAACCATTAAGATCCACACCCACCAAAACCGGTTTGGCTCAGTGGATAGAGCATCGGCCTGCGGACTGAAAGGTCCCAGGTTCGATTGCGGTCAAGGGCATGTACCTGGGTTGCGGGCACATCCCCCGTGGGAGATGTGCAGGAGGCAGCTGATCGATGTTTCTCTCCCATCGATGTTTCTAACTATCTATCTCTCTCCCTTCCTCTCTGTAAAAAATCAATAAAATATATTAAAAAAAAAAAAAAAGATCCACACCCATTAGGATGGCTATTATAAAACAGAAAGTAACAAGTGTTGCTTAGAACATGGAGAAATTAGAATCCTTGTGCATTGCTTGTGGGAAAGTAAAATGATAATTATGTAGATTTTTTTCTTATTGAGTTATAGGTGTTCTTAATGTATAAAGAACTCCTAGAGTTCACTCTTTCCATTGTCTTGGTTCATAAACTAGTAATTACACTCCTAGATTGGTTCAGTAAATGGGGAGCTGACCTTGCTGCCTGCCTTATGTCCCCTCCCGCCAATGCAGGCTTCATATTGCAACTAGAGTGATCTCATGTATGATACAAGCACATCCCTTTACCAAAGAGCTGTCAATTCCTAGTTTCCTTTTCCAGTCTCCTGTTCTATTACTTCTCACCATCCCAACACATACATATATCCCACCATTCACATGCATACACCCTATGACAGGATACTTGCCCCTGTATCACTGCCCATGACTATGGAAATAAGTCAGGGTAATTCTGGGGATTGCTCATGTCCCTCTAAATAAAAAGGTAAACTGAGGTAAAAAAAATGGTTCCTGCTTCCATTTTTCCTTTTATTACTTTAGAATAAGTTTGAAGATAGTTCTGATACAAAACTTGTTTATTCCAAAAAAACATATTCACTAGTATAATAAAACTAGAGGCCCAATGCACAAAAATTCATGCAAGAGTAGGCCTTCCTTCCCCCAGCTGCCAGAACCAGCTTCCCTCCAGCACCCGGGACCCGGGCTTCCCTCCTCCAGCCGCAGGCAGGCACCAGGCATCTGGGCTGCTTCCTACCTTAGGCCGCCGGCAGGCACCTGCAACCCAGGCTGCTTCCCTCCTCCAGCCACCCGCAGGCACCAGGGACCTGGGCTGGCTTCCCTCTGCCCTGGCTTCATCAGGAAGGATGTCCGGTCTAATTAGCATATTACCCTTTTATTATTATAGATCATTATAGGAGCTCTAAAATAATAAAAAAATAATTACTTATCAGATGTACTAGTATAATTTGCAAACATTTTCTCCCATTCTGTTGGTTCCTTTTCATTCTCTTGAGTGTCTTTTGGTGCATGAAAAGTGTTAAATTTTGATGATGGCCAATTTACCTATTTTTCTTTTGTTGCCTGTGCACATCCAGGAAATCATTGCCAAATCCAATGTTTTGCAGCTTTTCCCATTTTACAGTTTAAGCTCTTACATTTTGGGATTGATTGGAAACATTCTGGAATTAGATAATGATGATGGTTGTACAACCCTATGTGATTATACTCAAAAGTACTGAATGGTACATTTTAAAAGGGTAAATTTTATGGTAGGTATATGAGATATATCTTAATTTTAAAAAGATACAAAAGGATCCCCAGGCAGTTTTGCTTCCTTTTATCACCTTTGTCCATTGTGTGATTAAATAAGGTTGCTGATTCCTTTCAGGGTATGTGATCCAGTTTATAGTTTACTGAGAAATAATCAATTTACAGTGTTAATTTGGTTTCAGGGGAGAAAATGATTTAGCAAAGAATATACTGGAGCATTAATTTATTCCACTCTGACAAGGGTACAAGCTCTTGAGAGCTGGTATGGTTACATAATGATTGATTCGGGAAATGGAACCCATTATTTTATAAATGAGCCCTGAATAAATGGGAAGTCATCTGAGGTGGCAGTGGGTCATACTGTAATTTAAGCAAAGAGACAAGTTAAATATTTGGGTAAAATCTAACTGGGAGTCAACTTAATTTTTAAACAGCTCAGTAGCACCCTCCTGACAGATAACTAAAAAATCTCTCCATGTTAAAAACCAGAACTTTACCTTAAAAGAAAAATAGAGCCCTGGCTGAGTAGCTCAGTTGGTTAGAGAATCATCCAGATACACCAAGGTTTCGAGTTCAATCCCAGTCAGGACACATACAAGAATAAACCAATGAATGTATAAATAAGTGGAACAACAGATCAGTGGTTTTTTTTCTCTCTCCCTTCTTCTCTAAAATCAATTTTTTAAAAACAAACAAAAAAAGACATATCTATTTAAGAAAAAAATTTCTGAGAGCCTACAAAAGTCAAATAACAAAGGCTGGTAGACCTAAAAATCTAGTCATTGGGCCAGAGACCTGCATTAGTTCTCAAAAACCTTACCTTCTTCATATGCTTGTTAAACAGTAACCTTTGAGGCCAAAAGTCTTTCTGAAAGGGTTTATTGAGCCAAATGCTAGCCAGAAAAAGCACCAGTTCCTGGTGCATGTAGCCTAAACCACCAGCAGCAGGGGTAGATGGAGACAAGCATGTCCACCATCCTGGAGATGACAGGGCTCTTTTATACAGTTTGGGGAAGAAAGACTTAGGTTGTTTTGAAAGAATTTCTGGAATAGGTGCATAGTCCCTAAAAAGAAGTACTTGCTACTTTTGGATTGGTTGTGGGCAACAGCCCAGAAACAAGATGTGGTTTTGGATTGGTTGTGGGCAACAGCCCAGAAACAAGATGTGGTAGCATGTGGTGGTTGTCTATTCTCTAAAAGCAGAAAGTGCAGCCTGGAAATTGATTCAAAATTTCAACATATATTCAGGAATATGAACAGACATTTGTTTGTTCTGGCCCTCGGGTCTGTTAACTGATTAACCTCCCTGCTCTCTCTCCCATTCTCTGGCCTGCTGCAATTAATTAGGACATTTCAGAATGTTTCTCCTGCCAGGCTGCAGGGCCTGTACCAGCTTCCCTGAGTGCCATCTCTCCTAGTGACCAAGCTGGGCTTTAGCCTCCATGTTTGGGACAAGATTTAACTGTCAACTACACATTCAACAACTTTTACACACAAATGGGCATACTTCTTTCTTTTTAAAGAACAAAACTGGTCACATGGTCAAAAACTGAAACCATCCTATCTAAAACAAAGGTAATATGCAAATTAACCATCACTCTGTCACAAATATGGTGGCACCCAGTCCCCTCGGCCCCACCGGAGTCCCCCAGTCCCGGGGGGAGGGGGAGCCGCTGAGAGCGGGCAGCATGAGCGGCCTGGCAGAATGCTTGCTTTGTCGCCGCACCCGGCTCAGGCCAGCTCCCTGGAGCTAGAGTGGACAGGGACGGGGGGAGCTGGCCCGAAGCCTCTGGCCAAGCATCGGCCCGGAGAGGAGACGGTGGGCCCGCCTCCCGCCTCCCACCTCCCGCGGAATCAGCGCGGGTCCCTCCAGCTCCCGCAGAATGAACACGGGTCCCTCCCGCCTCCCGTGAAAGCAACGTGGCTCCTGGAGGTGCGCTGCGGTTCCCACCGGCTCCCTCGGAAGCGGTGGGCGGCCTACTGAGTGCAATATCACACGGGCTAGTAGTATAGAATATAAAATGAAAAGTGATTCTCCCAGACTCCCCAGTTCCCTTCCCAAATGTTTGTGTAAATTATGACTTTTTCTTTCTAAAATGTTCATTATTAATGTGACAGGAATATTACACAGAATATGGTTCTGATGAAAGATAAGTATTCCAGAGTCTGTGTGGTTTAATCCGAAACTGAGGCTACATCCAGATCCCAAATGTAGAAACTAAAAATTTTCCTGAAATCCAACACAGAAGTTAGATCTAAGTAGACTCAATTGTTTTCTTAATCATACATTTTAAACTCCAAGTCATATTTCACTTGATTTCTTTCTATCCATGGCAAAACAAACTCTTCAAGATCTATAAAAATAACACAAGTTGACCCTAGACAGTTTGGTTCAGTGGATAAAGCGTTGGTCTGTGGACAGAAGGATCCCAGGTTCGATTCTGGTCAGGGTACATGCCCAGGTTGCGGGCTCGATCCCCAGTGGGGGGCATGCAGGAGGCAGCCAACCAATAATGCTCTCTCCCTCTCGCTTCCTCTCTGAAATCAATAAAAATATATATTTAAAAAAAAAAAACAAGTTGGCAGTCACCTGAAAACAATTTATTATTACATGGATTAAGCCTTAAATCCATCAAGCAAAAGAATCTAACACACTCATGGTTAAGATGAAACAATACATAAGCACATGTATGCCTTGACTAACAAAAATAGCCCCTGGTAAAATTCCCAATACTCAAGAAAGATTTAAAAATAAATATCCTGTTCATTTAATGTTGCCTGTAAGCAGATCTCCCTGGTCCTTAGACGATAAGGTTAAGACTGACACAATTACAACTGGGAGAGGGAAGGAGGTAAAAAAATAAAAACCTAGAAATCACAGGGAATGGGAAGTAATCCAATTAACAGCAGCATTGAAAATATGTAATCTTACAACAAATGAGTGCCCATTTGGCAAATTAATGTCTATGGCCATTTTCTTCCCCAAATAGGGAGAAGAATGAATGTGGGAAATTAGATTTGCTTTCAATATTCCTAGGACCAAAAGCAATCACATATCTGGGAGCTACTAAACTCTCTAACGCTTGAATATTATTAACAAGCTCTTCACATAATTATCAAAATATTTTAAAAATTTAAAAACTGAAACCCTGCAATAGCCAATAAATTCAAATTCTCATTAATCAACCTCTATTTCTTACATATTTTATGAAAAGAGTGCATAATTGTACCCTTTTTAAAGATGCAAATAATTTGCCTGTTGTGCAAATGAAGCTCACCTAGTCTCCAAGGAGGCACCTGCCCAGGGCAGTCAGAAAGGCAACCAACACTGCATTTGTTGCCAGTCAATGAGTTTGAAGTGCCTTTTCAGTTGGAATGAGCTGTGCCTGAACATTTAAGACTAAATAGTGGGCTGGTAAACAAAGCCCATGCCATAGAGGAAAAGGGCCTTTAGACCTGATGAAGGGTTGGCAGACCAGTTCTTTATCTCTGCCGTTCTTGAAGAAAAGATTCCTCTAAGGCAGTGGTTCTCAACCTTCCTAATGCCGCGACCCTTTAATACAGTTCCTCATGTTGTGGTGACCCCCAATTTCATTGTTACAAATTGAACATAATTAAAGCATAGTGATTAATCACAAAAACAATATGTAATTATATATGTGTTTTCTGATGGTCTTAGGCAACCCCTGTGAAAGGGTCGTTCGACCCCCAAAGGGATCGCGACCCACAGGTTGAGAACCGCTGCTCTAAGGTGAGCCAAGTTCAGCAGCTCACTTTAACCTAGAGCTGGTCTAGGAGTGACTAGCCATCTAACTGGATTCTGCTAACTCAGTTCTCATCCCAACAGCACTCTGGCCCCCGCTTGGGAAGTCCCTGAGGAAGTAGATGAAGCTAATTTGTAGGACAGCCCACAAAGGCGACGCAAGTATTGTACTAGCGGCATATAAAGGACTTTCCCACAACTGTGGCAAAGGCCACAAAAGAAATATTTTTCCCACAGAGGGTTCCCCAGTCATTGTCCTCTTTGACTAGGCCCTCCTTTCTTTAGCTCTCTGCCCTGACAACCTCAGCCTGTCTTCACCATGTTTCTTCTCCTGGATGCAAAGATATTTCTCTCTTCAGCTTATTTTTGAGAAAGGCTTATTTTTGTGATTTACCCAACTAACTAACCATGAAATCAGGTCTGTTGGGATAGAGGGTAAAACTAAACAAACAGTCCTCTATGTCTGAAAAACAGCTGCTGGCCTTTCAACTTCATGAGATGCTTGGCCCAGTTGTGCTCTTCTATGCCGGGTCCTCTTCATCCATTGTCACGTCATAGCCGGTAGTTTTCTTCTGCTCAGCCTCTGGCCCTGCAGGCAGAATGCTTGTGACCGTGTGGAGGAGTGCTTCGATCTGCTCCTCTGTGAGCCGTTCTTCACTCTCTTCCACCATCTGCAGAAGGAAGAAAACCTCTAGGGTTACAAATGAGCCTCCTAGGCTGGGCCACCCAATGTCATTCCCAGTCCCAGCCCAGCCTCTTAGCACAGAGCTCAGGGCCGGTCCAGAGCCTCCGGTCTCTCGGTCCTCTCCACCTTGGCTCCACAGGAGGGAGAAGCTTGATCAAATTTCAGGGTAAGCCAGTGCTAGTGCTCAAAATGGGTCAGTGAAAAAGGAGAATTGCATATTAATATTTTTCTTGAAAGAAAAAGAAAACCCTAACAGTTCTATCCCTATATACACATGTGAATATGTTGTATATGCAAAGAAAAACTCACCTCTGGGGAGTGCATGGTGCTTTATGTATTTTTGTATTTTGCAAGTTCAACTATAACTTACAAACTGTAGCAACAACTCATCTGATGATTCATCAGGAGTCTGATGAGTGTCACTGGAAAACAATCCCATACTGCCTCATCAATGGTGCCAAGTGGTTTATATATTTTTTCTAATCCTCATTAACGCCACCACCTAAGAACAGCTCTTTAGGGAGCTATGTGCCTGGTGCTGCACCTTACACTTTACTAGTATGTCCATTATTTCTTTTAACCCTCACAACAATCCCGGCAAAAGGCAAACTAGAAATCCAAGCCAGGCCTATCCAACTCGAACACACACCACTGGGCCTTAGTCTCCTCCTGAGAATGCAGAACAGGAGTCTGATGAGTGACGCTGGAAAACAACCCCACACACCTCATCAAAGGTCTACTCAAAGCCTGGCTACCGACACAGTCCTGGAAATCTGAACACACAGCCGATACCCACAATCATGAGCCAGTTTCTAAGCCTCACCTCTGATTCTCAATATGTTATCGAATACAAACATAATGTATAGTCAGCCCCCTTTTAAAAATATGCAGGCAGTCACATTGTTTAAGCACATTCACTTGGTGGCATTAGCTGTCTATTGCAAACAACCTTTTCAGCTAAAGGTGTCCAGGGTCCTATTCTATGGCATTTCCCACAGCAATCTCTGACATCTGGCAAGTAAGACCAAAAGGAATTCTAGAAAGAAATCCAGCAGATTTAAGTAAAGAAAGATGGCAAGCTAGACTTACAATCCTGAAATCAGTCCACTGCCTCACTTTACAAATAACAGTATAGAAACAAAAGAAGCCCAGTGACACATCCAAGATCATACTGCAAACTCCTGAAAAAACATTAGTCTCTTCATTCATCTTAGTCCAAAAATGTTTCCACAACTAGAGAATAACCCCGGGAGGTCTAGGGTGGGGAAAATACCAAGTGAACCAATGAAGTTAAATCCTATCACACTGTGAAATAAAATGTCCACTGTCTAATGATTCAAAGGCTCAATAAAATAACTTCTTAACTGAACAAGAAACAATCCCCAAAGCCCATTTTTAAAATCAGACATGCAAACGGGTTCATGAAAGGACTAACACAGACTGCCTCCAAAGAATGAAGGAAGAGGAAGGAGGGATATATCCAACCTGATTTAATCCTGAGAAATGATCTCCATTTGAGAAGAATGTCTCCAAGTTTATGAATAACTGGCATATGCAGTTGATGGTAAACTACTTCCTGCCTCAGGTGAGAGGGTGAAGGAGCTCTGAACTACTGTTAGAAGAGTGACAGCCTCCACTAGTATCTGTGTAGTGCCCCACAGATTGTGAGGGGCTGTCACCGAATCACTGCCCCCAGAGCTTCTCAAGAACACTGCACATCAAGGCAGGACAAATTTACTGGTAAGTGGATGCTCAGCGTTACAAGGAAACTTGACCTGGGTCTCAAAGCAAGTGGGGGCAAGGTTTTTGACTTTGCATCCCAGCTCTTTCTAGAACACCATGCCTTCCACTAGGAGGTTCTATCATTTCCTCTCTCAGAGATGCTATGCTGTACAGCAGACTACTATAAAGTCCACTGGTTAAGAGTTTGGTTATGCGACCTCTAAGAGGCCTTCCCTTTCAGAAAACCAAACAGAGAGAACCTCAATAGGCCACCTTCTTGCATCCCAATCTCTGGGTTTGGCAGATGCAACACTAAGATCAGGTGTTAGGGAGGTGTGTTTTTGGCAAAAGGGCTGATGAGCTTTCCATTTAGCCAAATTTGCCAGGAGCAGCTTTGATTCGCACATGATCCTCAGGGATAATTATAGTCAGGAAGTTTTCTTTTCAATCCAAGATTCTCAGGCCCAAATAAAGAAGTGCAAAGCACCATCTCAACATTCTGATACCAAAGGTTTCAAGTTACTCAGAATATAAAGGCAAATGAAATTTTAAAATCCAAAGTATTTGCAGATGGGTCAACATAAATGACAAATGTCTTTAATCATATACAGAGATTATATCAATACCCAGGAGCTGTCAAACTGAGCTGATGAACTGTTTCTCATTTTAAGCTGTCAGGCCTAACCTCCTACTTTCCTCAAACATCTCAAAATCTAATAGTTACTGACACTTTTAGCTACTTGACCCAGGAACAGTTCACCCAACCTCTGTAAATTTCCATTTTCTTTAATATAAAATGAAAGTAATGTGTATAGTCAGGACCAAACAAGAACAAATACTATAGTCTTTTGTAAGCCATAAAACTCTATATAATTCAAGACATTTTATAGTCACTACATTATAACAGGCATAGATGGCAGTGCTGTTCAGGACCATGGCCGGTGAGGTCATGGGTTCACTGTCCTATCTTCAGACCAGAGGGCTCAAAAGGGAAGAAGAGTCACAGAAGCTGGGTGGCTTCCTCTTCTTCAGACAGATCTGAGGATTGCAACAAATCATGGCTGAGGTGTAATTAAAAAAGAGAAATTTCAGCCCCTAAAACTGAATACTAACAAATGTTAGATGCTGAGATTACTTCTAAATTGTAAGCTTTAGATGAGGAAAGTCTCAAGTCCTCTGCAGTTTCCACTCTCTGTGAAAACCCAACTTCTTATTCCACTCTGGTGAGAAGAGATACTGCTACAAGCCTTGGTAAATGATTTGCTATCTTTTACAGCCAAATCCCAGGCTGGGAAAACTCTGGATATAAAATGGCCCAACTACTGGGAAACAACACACATAATTTTCACCAAGGAAAGGAGAAGAGAACGAACAGTCTGAGGGGATGCAAAAGTACATGGCTTGGAGGAACACAGTAAGACTTGTGAATTAGACCCGAATCAGCCACTCACTAGCCAAGATTATGATGGAGGCATTAAAGGTAACATATACAAAGCCCCTAGCACCACGTCTGGCATACAATAGGTATTCTTAATAGCAGCTAATTTTACAAGTAATGATAGAGCTTTGTACAGGCTCTGGGGTGAGGTCACACTAATCCTCCTCATCTCTTCTCCATCTGTCCTTAAGCCATGAATAACATATGTTGCTGATTAAAGCTGGAGGAGACATGCCATGTGATCTTTAACCCAGAGGGAAAGGAATTAGTTTCTTGCTGTTTTGTTTGTTTTTTCTCTTTTCCAAGTTGAATCTCCAACATACACACAGTCGAAAGCATAAGAATAATGAGGGTTTAAAATGGAGTCTTTGTGTATCCTGAAGACCAGTTACCCAGAAAGGCACCCTTTGTGGAAAGGCACCCTAAATTTTGAGTACATTCTGAAGGGCAGAAGTAACACTACAAATACAATAAGTTTTAGTCAAAAATTAAATACCCCATGACCCTTTAAGGAAAGAGTTTTTTTGTTTTGTTTTTTAAACAATTCTAGAGATCATGGGTATTATTGGCCATTTTCTTCCACACTTCTCTGAAGGAAATTTGACAAAGTGCTAAATACTTCTAAAACTGACTTTGGAAACAGTTTTATTCTCATTTTATTAATTCTCCAGCCAAAGTTTTTCACTGTCAGTTGAATGGCCTGCCTAATATTTGTAGCTTAATGATGCTCTTTGCTCTGTACAACTGAAGGAAACAGCAGGCCAATACAGCAGACACTCATCTGTATCACTGGACCTCATTTTCATTCTCCTTAAACCACCTCAGCTTTCTACTCCAGTTGCCTCCTACAATTCTGAAACTTTATGCTGTGACTGCAATTTAGACTTTTCAAGTGATGAGGCTCCTCTGAATGGTTTTATGCAGGGAAATAAGATCATCAAATTTGTGGTTTTAGAAAATGAACTATATAGTGCTGTGGAAGATAGACTGAAGGGGCCAGACTGGAACAGGGAGAAGGGTGAGGGGATAAGTGAGATATGATGACAGAGAGTGATGCAGTGCAGTAGTGAAAGGAAGAATAAGCGATAGAAGCAACAGAACCTGAGGACTAACTGAATGTGATAAAAAGAAGAGAATGACTTCCAGGTTTCTGGCTTAGGAGACTGGGCCAGGAGGGTAAGAAAGAGAGCATGTGGGAAAGTGCACATATGCTCCATTAACCAAGAAAAGAAATTCAGGAAGAGCAGGTCAAAGGGTAGGAGTGGGAGAGATGAATTCCAGCAGAATCATGTCAAGTCTAATGTTTGTATGCAACATCTGGGTTGGCAATAATCCTACAGGGGAGCCATGGCCAGAATCACGTAGGACATCAGGTGAGACAAAGAGCTACCAAATCATAGGCCTAAACCATGTAGAAGGAATTAAATTTCGTCTTCTACTTTACCTAAGTCCATACTAACTAGGATCAAATTTCACTTATAAAATGGAGTGGCCTGTCTTTTCAAGTTATGTCAGTTCCTGGCTTGTCTGTTGTCAGCCTTTATATCACCCTTTCTATATCTCATACCCATAAATCAATCCACCCACCCCCATTCCCGACACACACACACCAGCCTCCTTCACTCACCAGCTGGATCTCAACAGCAGTCATAGGCCTGTGATTCAGCAGCTGAAGTTTTTCAGCTCTGTCAAAAAATAAATTACAAAGCACTTAAAACTCTCATACCCCTAAGGATCTTGATTCTTTACCAAGTTGTTTAGAGAACAGTTTGCAAGACAACAAGTGGGAGAACCACTTGGAACATGGCCCTCAGCTTCCTCAACTGTAAAATGAAACTCAAGGGTACAAATGTGTATTAGAATCCTACAGATCATAGAGGCTTAGATTGTAATAAATGTAACAAATATTAGAGATGAAGTTTAATAAATTTTATTTGGAAAATGTAAGCAAAGTTTTCTTAATTCAGATAATAGAAAGTAGAGATTAACAAAATAATCTTGGTTGGTCACTGTTTAAGAATTCCTTTTTGAGATTAACTTTTACTGAAGTTTGACCTATTATCTTAGTAAACAAAACGACTTTAAGGGAGCAGGAGTTAATATACATAGTAGTACACAGTACGGTCTTCTGCCCTCAAAGAGCTTACAAACCAGTTGGGGAAAGAAGACAAATACAAACAAATTTTAAAAAGATTTAAGTAACAGTTGAAGATCACTGCCATCTGCCACATGGCACTATGTAGCTCACTGCTGAAGGGGTGGTTGAAATGCGTGGACTCTCAAAGATGGCAGGACTTAAGAGAACAACTTCAATTACCACTCTATGCAGGTAACAATTTCTAAATTTTTCTTTCAATCTGACCCTGGAGTTCCAGATACATTTTTAAATGCAATAAATACTTACTGAGTTTAAAGACACTATAGAATAAAAAGACGAGTAAGCCACAAATCCCAGAGTCATGTGTTCCGGGAAGCAGTACAAGTTACCCAGACTCCCTAAGCCTCAGTTTCATCATTTGAAAAACATGCATGATGATATATTTACTATCTCACAAGGGGTGAGGAGGTGGCAGCAACAACCATTTATTGCTTACTTTCCATTTACGGTGGCAGTAACCACCATTTATTGCTTACTTTCCATTAGAGAAGCACATTTAACTGTCAGACTTAACTGACACTGAGATTGGAAATAACTTGTCCAAGGTTACACAGCTAGTAAACAGCAGAGCTGGGACTCTACCACCAAAGCTCATGTTCTTAATCATCTGCTTTTAGTGTTCGCAGTGTTCATAATGGTGACTGTCACACAGTAGTTTCTCCATAAATAGTAGTCATTACTATTGAAGTTGTAGTCCAGTTCTATTCCTCATAATTCCCCAAACATTTACTCTCAACTTGAAGAAGACTTCACAGAGCAGACCCTTGCACTGGACTCTGCAGGACTTTCTAGGCAGAAAGGATAAACAGAATGGGCAGTCAAGGCAGGAACACACAAGTAAATGCCCAGAAGTACAAACATTCATGGAGCTTTAGGAAATGGCTCCTAAGCGGTTGTGGGACACAAGGTTCAGAGAGTCTTCTCGGACAAGACTGCTAAGGGTCCCGTCTACCAAGAGCTGGATGTTACTCTGTACTCACTGGAGAGCAACCAAAGAAAGGACCATCATGCTTAGGCTGATACTGAAGCAATTCTGGAAGACCCGAGAAAATGGAGGCAAAGACACTGTAATACTCCCCAGTGAGAGAAAACAAAGTCGTGAACTTGGGCAGCAGCAGCAGCAGCAGGGATGGCAAAGAGAGTCTGGACGTGTGAAATGCTCTTGGTCACCCCCAGGTCTAGCAGTCAACAAACCTGACAACTGCCTAGGTTTGCTGAGGATGGGGGAAGGCAAGGGAAGAGTTAAAGTTTGTTGTCACGTTTTTAGCCTGTTTGGAAAACATATATTAACTGAAATTTAAGTTTGTGGTACTTTTACTGATTGATTGGTTTGAGGAAGGGAAAAAGAGAGAACCATCGATTTATTGTTCTACTTATTTATGCATTCACTGACTGATTCTTTTATGTGCCCTGACTGGGGCTCGAACCCACAACCTTGGAGTATCGGGATGATACTCTAACCAACTGAGCTACCTGGCCAGGGCCAAGTTTGTGGTACTTTGAAAAAACAACAAATTCTATCAAGCAGACTGTGTAATTTTAGTCTTAATTTGGTCTAAAACTAAAGAAAAAGACCAGAGCTGGATTTATTCTAAGGAGTTATGTGAAACCATTACAGTGGCTAGCATAGCCCAGAGACCAAGTGCAGGGTAAGTGAAGAACACAGGACAATGCCATAAAGCACCTCCATTTAAGGGGCCAGGAGAGAAGGCAGCAAAGGAGAATGAGGAGGAAGAGGCATAACATATACAGAGTTCGGTATTATCCACGGTTTCAGTCATCCACTGGGAGTCTTGAAACATATGCCCCACGGATAAGGGGGGACTACTGTAAACACCACTGCAAACACTACACAGGAAAGCATCAGGCTACCTCCTATTCCATGCCTCAGCACATGATCCTTCTACTTAGCATTAACTCACCTGCATCTGGCCAACTCTTCCTTTACATTAAACCCACTGTAATCTCCTATAAACAAATTCTCAAATTCTGACACTTCAGTATCTCTCTACTATGTCCCCACTACCATAGCAGTTACACTGTATTCATACCTGTGTATCCCCAACAACTGAGACAAAGCAAGCATAAGATAAATCTATATAATAAAAGCCTAAGCGACCATTAAGGCAGAACGACCAGAACGACTGGTCGCTATGATGCGCACTGACCACTGGGGGCAGACACTCAATGCAGGAGCTTCCCCAGTTGGTCAGTGTGCTCCCACAGGGGGAGCACCGCTCAGCCAGAAGCCAGGCTCACATCTGGCTGGCAAGCACAGAGGTGGTAGCACTAAGTAGCAGCGAGCAGGCAGGCAGTAAGGAGCAAGGGGTCCTGGACTACGAGAGGGTGCAGGCCAGGCTGAGGGACCATCCCCCTACCCGTGCTCAAATTTCTTATACTGGGCCTCTAGTATAAGGATAAATTAAAGAAAAGGATAGGGTAGCACTGACTTAAAGAAGTTCAAGGGAGAGACAGCTATTGAACACTGGGAGACATGAGTCAGGATTCCATGCTCTGAAAGCAGTCACGGTAACCACACTCCAGATATTAGGGAAACCTGACAACCCTTCCACTCTGAGCTTTGCTGGCCCCAGAGGTCATGTCCCAAATATGGTGGCAAATCCCAAGAGTAATCTGAGCACAGAAAAGTCCCTTTTAGAGACCCCAAGATATTTACAGACCTGCCCAGGCTGGGTCTTGAAGGCAAGTCCTTCCTCTATGCCTGGTAGTCATAGCTGTACATCTTAGAGCAGTGGATCTCAACCTTCCTAATGCCACGACCCTTTAATACAGTTCCTCATGTTGTGGTGACCCCCAATTTCATTGTTACAAACTGAACATAATTAAAGCATAGTGATTAATCACAAAAACAGTATGTAATTATATATGTGTTTTCCGATGGTCTTAGGCGACCCCTGTGAAAGAGTCATTCGACCCCCAAAGGGGTCGCGACCCACAGGTTGAGAACCGCTGTCTTAGAGAGACCTAAGGAAGAGACCCAGGCTGTAAGCCAGAGTGTAGTTCTTGAGAATTAAATGCCTTAAGCAAAAAATTAAAACGATTAAAGAACCAAATGCTTTGGAGAATTAACATGCTAAAGAAAATATGACACGAAACTTAGTGTAAAGTGAATTCAAGTTGAATCTCAATACTACCATTATGCTGAATAAAGTTGTGATGTGAAATAAAGAATGGTTCCTACAATACCCTCAGGGACTCTAGTAACGGAGGTACTTAACCAAATTAATGACACTCCAGTTTGCACTACTAGATCTGGACCAGTTAAGGGCTAGTATCTTTCATCTCCTTTCTATGAAAGAATGGTAGAGAAAAACTCTATTGAGATATTCAGATAAAAGGATTAAAGAGCACTTCAACAGTTTCTATTATAAATGTGATTCCTGCCTTGAACTGCACTAGCTAGCAAAAGATGGTTCAGGCCCTGACCGGTTTGGCTCAGTGGATAGAGCGTCAGCCTGCAGATTGAAGGTACCAGATTCAATTCCAGTCAAGGGCATGTACCTTGGTTGTGGGCACATCCCCAGTAGGGGGTGTGCAGGAGGCAGCTGATGGATGTTTCTCTCTCATTGATGTTTCTACCTCTCTATCCCTTTCCCTTCCTCTCTGTAAAAAATTAATAAAATATATTAAAAAAAAAAAAAAGATGGTTCAGGTCTTGATGGTATATGGCAAGCAGCCACCTGGATCACCAGGCACTGAGGCCAATTAATTCCAATGGACTGCAATGGTTGGCTACCTCCTAAAGGAGCCAGGCCCCAGCCATAGTGAAAGAAGCCTGCATGCCCCCTCTAGTGATTGGTTTTAGAAAAACACTGCCTGTAGCTTTTGCTTTCGACAGTCATGAATAACTTATATTCATGTTAATCTGATCCAGGAATCAACCATTTAATTAAAAGTAGACATGAAAACTATTAAAGACTTTGCTTACTTTGGTTCAGTCATCAACTCAAATGGAGACTACAGCGTTGGTGGTATAGTGGTGAGCATAGCTGCCTTCCAAATGGAGACTACAGCCATGAAATCAAGAGAAGGTTGAAACTTGGAAGGGCAGCAATGGAAGAATTAGGAAAGGCTTCTTTCTGGTCAAGACTGCAGTGTAGATAAATGCTGTACTTGCCTTCTCCCATGATCACATCAAAATTACAATTAAACTACAGAACAACCATCATTGAGAACCACCTGAAGTCTAGCTGACCAGAAGTCCTATAACTAAGGATATAAAAAAGCAGCCATGCAAAGACTGGTAGAAAGCACAGAGACATGGAACAAGCAAGCTGGTCCCACACCTACCTGTGCAGTTAAAAATGGGGAAGGGCATCTCAGCTGTGGAGGTCCCCTTTGAAGAATGAGGAATCCCAGCTCCAAACCATGCCCTCCAGCCCAGGATTCCAGAGCCAGAAAGAGAAGTCCCCATAACTTCTGGCTGTGAAAACCAGCAGGGATTATGGCTGAGTGAGAGAGGGAGCTGCTGGAGTCCCAGGGGTTCCTCTTAAAGGGCCCACAGAGACTCACTTGCTCTGAGCTCCCGTGCTGGGACATCACCTCAAAAGGCAACATGAACATACAGGAATTGAATTGTCTGGTTTTGGGGTGCAGGCTGCCATAAAACTTTAGAATCATTCATCAAAGGATTTGTAAAAGGCACTTGAATTCTGCATATGGCTGTGAGATGAAGTCAATCAAAGGAGGTATTATAAATGGCACTGTTCATGTCAGCAACTGATTATATATGGCTATTAATACTTAAATTTGCCCAGCCGGTGTGGCACAGTGGTTGAGCATCCACCCAGGAACCAAGAGATCCTGGTTGGATTCCAGGTCAGGGCACATGCCTGGGCTGCAGGCTCAATCCCCAGAAGGGGACATGCAGGAGGCAGCCAATCAATGATGTTTTTCTAATTGATGCTTCTATCTCTTCATCCCTCTTCCTTCCTCTCTAAAAAAACACACACAAAAAAAACCCCACATATTTTTTAAAAATAAAAATAAAATGATCAACAGTTACATGTGGCTAGAAGCTACTGTGTAGGATAGGGCAGAGAAATATTGCCATTATCACAGAAAGTTCTACTGGACAGGACTGCTCTGTAGTCTCTATTGATAGTCAACAGAAGAACTGCAGATTGAAAGAAAATACTGTCACATGAGAAGACTCAGTCCAGTTGAAATTACCTGCAACCTCTGTAGTCTGAGATCTGTATCTTTGTGACAAAGTAAATCTAGAAGAAAGGTGATGCATCGTTTTCTTCCTCCCTGCTCCCTTCCCCAAGTCCTGATCCCCTCCTTGTGTTTCGATTATCCAAAGCTTTTTGTGTCAATGTGGTCACACATGCTCCAACTAAGAAATGAGAGTGATGAGCATACAAATTGTTTGGAAAACGTTAATAAAGTTTCCTTGAAAGAACCGAGTGCGCTCGGAGGTGGAAGGCGCCTTTGATTCCAGCGCTTCACCCACGCGCTGTGCCCTCTGTCGGCCCAAGACTGGAGAGACGTTTAAAGGAGGAGCCGAATCACCACGGGAGTCCGGCCTCTTGCTGTTGGATAACTCCCACCCTTCGGCACGGCCTGAGGAGGAGAAGCGGCGACGCGGAAAAGCAGGCATGGAGAGTAGAAAACTGATTTCTGCTACAGACATTCAATACTCTGGCAGTCTGCTGAACTCCTTGAATGAGCAACGTGGCCATGGACTCTTCTGTGATGTTACCGTTATTGTGGAAGACCGAAAATTCCGGGCCCACAGGAATATTCTTTCTGCTTCTAGTACTTATTTCCATCAGCTCTTCTCAGTTGCTGGGCAAGTTGTTGAACTAAGCTTTCTAAGAGCAGAGATCTTTGCAGAAATTCTCAATTATATCTATAGTTCTAAAATTGTTCGAGTTAGATCAGATTTACTTGACGAGTTAATAAAATCAGGGCAGTTGTTAGGAGTAAAGTTTATAGCAGAGCTTGGTGTCCCGTTGTCACAGGTTAAAAGCACCTCACATACAGCTCAGGATGGTAATTCAGAAACCTTACCTTCTGGTTCTAGTGACAGGAACCTTGAAGTACAAAAATCAAAAGACAAAACGCAAGATAATGGGGCAACTATAATGCCTATTATAACAGAGTCTTTTTCCTTATCTGCTGAAGATTATGAGACAAAAAAGATTATTGTTACTGATTCAGATGATGATGATGATGTTATTTTCTGCTCTGAGATTCTGCCTGCAAAGAAGACTTTGCCAAGGACCAGTGCAGTGGCACAGGCCCCGCCTAACTCAGGCTCTGTTGCTATTTCAGATGTTGCACCTTGTGCTAGCAATAACTCCCCTGCTTTAACAAATAACACACCTCCGCAGAAACTTCCTACTCCTGTGAACCAGGCAACTCTGAGCCAAACACAAGGAAGTGAAAAAGTGCTGGTATCTTCTACCCAGACACATCTGACTCCTAACATCATTTTGTTAAATCAGGCACCACATACTACGCCACCAAATGTCAGTCCTTCACTTCCAAATCATATGCCTCCTTCAATCAATTTACTTGTGCAGAATCAGCAGACACCAAACAGTACTGTTTTGAAAGGAAACAAGGCCAATGACAACGAGGAGGAGGAAATTATAGATGACGACGACACTATTAGCTCCAGTCCAGATTCGGCTGTCAGTAATACATCTTTGGTCCTACAGGCTGATACTCCCAAAAATGCCACTTTTGATGGATCACTGGTACAGAAGATGCAGATCTCTACACTTCTGCAAGAGCCACTTTCCAATTCTTTAAAAGTTTCAGATATAATTACTAGAAACACTAATGATCCAGGTTTAGACTCAAGACATCTAATGGAGGGTCAGAAGATCATTACTTTAGATACAGCTACTGAAATTGAAGGCTTATCAGCTGTTGGCAAGGTTTATGCAAATATTGGTGAAAATATTTATGACATAGTGATCCCTGTCAAAGATGACCCTGATGAAGGGGAGGCCAGACTTGAGAATGAGATACCAAAAACAATTAGCAGTGAGCCGGCCAACAAACGTATGAAAGTAAAATATGATGATCACTATGAGTTAATAGTAGATGGAAGGGTCTATTATATCTGTATTGTGTGCAAAAGGTCATATGCCTGTCTGACAAGCTTCCGGAGACATTTTAACATTCATTCTTGGAAAAAGAAGTATCCTTGCCGTTACTGTGAGAAGGTATTTCCTCTTGCAGAATATCGCACAAAGCATGAAATTCATCACACAGGGGAGCGAAGATATCAATGTTTGGTTTGTGGCAAATCTTTCATCAACTATCAATTTACGTCTTCACACATAAAGTCAGTTCATAGTCAAGTTCCTTCTGGAGACTCAAAGCTTTATCATTTACATCCATGCAGGTCTTTACAGATCAGACAATATGCATACCTCCCTGATAGGTCAGACACTGTGCCTATAATGAAGGATGATGGAATTGGGTATAAGGTTGATGCTGGGAAAAAACCTCCCATAGGGACCACATCCACTCCTCAGAACAAGCCAATGACCTGGGAAGATATTTTTATTCAGCAGGAAAATTATTCAATTTTTAAACAGAATGTAACAGATGGCAGTACTGAGTTTGAATTTATAATACCAGAATCTTATTGAACTCTTTTGAAATATCAAAGTTTTGGTTTGGATTAAGGGGCAGGGCTTTCAGAAGACCTATAAAACAAATTAAGAAATTTTATGTGACATGTCATCTGAAGGTAGTTTAGCTGGATTATTTGTTGATAATTTTTAGAAGCAAATTATTCTGAAAGTTTGTAGAGATTGAGAAGTCCCACCCCCAAGTATCTGTTTATATAGTTAGCTATCAGCTCATTTAAAAGGGGCAAAAAAAGCTTGGAGAGATAGTTTCCAGAACAGAATTTGAAGCAGTCTGAATGTTTTTTTAAAATAACTGGAGTTATTAGCATACCCTAGTATACCCTAAACATTCCCCTTCTATGTTAGCACTTTACTGCTCAATTCTCAATTTTCTTAATATTGAGACTATAAATGTGTGTTGTGTTTGTATATGGCATAAAAAATTAAACAAGAACTTCTGAAGTTGTTCTGGAAATTTTTGAAACAAGGTTCTGCGTGGTTGTGTGTTCTGCTAGTCCAAATGGATAGCAACCTCCTGCCTCCTTCCATGAAAATGGCCATGCAGTGAAGTCTCATCTGAAGAATTAGTTTTAGCTCATTAGATTTAAATCTTGCTTTTATTGCCATAGTGTGGAAAAGACTTTGGTGGCTGGGACTAGTGTATATACCTTTGCTATGTGGTCTCTGTGGTAAAAAAAAAAAAAATACTAATCTCTGTAATGCAGACAGGAGATGAAAAGTTCTGTTGCATTATTTTTTGAATTTTTGCTCTTACATGTTAGAGGCAGAGTGGAAGTGATTGGATATTGTCTTTTTGTTCATTATGATTAAAAATAGTCCCATGAAAATTTTCAAATTTTGAATCTGTAAGCCACCAAAATAAATCTTTAATTCTGTATGAATCTTTATACAGATAGGTTCCAGAAATGAGACTCCTACATATTTTGGGTAGGAGGCTACTGGCATATATTTTTCAATGTTCATATTACTTAGAATCTCTAATAGGAAGTTTTCATTTGAAATAGCTGAATCAGTGATCTAGTACTTATCAGCAGGACCTTTTACGTTTTTACCCTTTCGAAAATAAGTTCCATTCCATCTGCAAATTGCTGCAATGTTATAGCAATCAGAAACTATAAATGGAATGTAATATAGGCTTGTTGATCCCCATTTATCTTGAGACCAGTAAATACCACCTTTTTTCCTTTTTAAATGACACATTTTTAAACATTTAGAAAATAAAGTCAAAACTTATTGAAGTGCTAGAACTAAAAAGAAGCAGGTTGGAAAATATAGCCTAGCATTTATAACAAGATTAACTTGTTGAACTTCTTCTGTAAATGACTTTGCAAAGAAAAAATTTTGATACTAAAGAAGATTGTTGTGCATAGTTATTAGTCATGTGTAACTTTGCTTAAGTATTTCTTAATTCAACATAGATATTTTCTTTCTCCTTAACAATGTATTTTTAAAAATAGTCTATTTCTTGACTTCAAACTTAAATAAAGCTTTAATCATAAAAAAAAAGTTTCCTTGTCTATAAAAAAGAAAGAGAGAACCTGGTTGGGTGTGGCTCAGCAGTTGAGCGTCGACCCAGGAACCAGGAGGGCACCGGTTCAATTCCCGGTCGGAGCATATGCCCAGGTTGCAGGCTCGATCCCCAGTATGGGGCGTGCAAGAGGCAGCCAATCAATGATTCTCTCTCATCATTGATGTTTCTATCTCCCTCTCCTCTCCTCTCTGAAATCAATAAAAATATATATTTAAACAAAAAAAAGGGAGAGAGAGAGAACAGACCCTTAGGGACCTGTAGAACAATTATCAAAGTTCTAACAGTTGTACCTTTGGAGCTTGGAAAGAAAGGAGAATGAGATTAAAGCAGAATAAATATTTCAAGAAATAATGGACCTAGACTTCACAAATTTGGTAAGAAATAGAAATTTATCTACTTAAGAAGTTCAGCAAAAATAAAATTTAAAAAAAATCAAATTTCAGAAGACCAAAAACAAGAAAAAATATTAAAAGCAGCCTGAGGAAAACAACATATTACATATTTGCATGATTACAGATTACTCATCAGAAACCATGGCAGTCAGAAGCCACTTTATAACATCATTAAAGCACTGAAAGAAAGATCCTCAACACACTGAAATTATCCTTCAGCAATTAAAGAAAATAACAACATTCTTTGTTGAAAGAAAATTTGCAGCCATGTTCTAAAAGAAGTGCTAAAGGAAGTTCTTCAGGCTGAATGAAGTACATAGTAAAAAGTAAACATGAAACTTCAGGAATAAATGAAGAGCAAAAGAAATGGTAAAATTCTGGGGAAATATAAAAGACGATTTTTGTACTCTTAAATTCTTTGAAATATAGAAAGTAAATGTTAAAAAACCACTAAATACTATTTCAATGTATGAGCTACCCGGCCAGGGCTGAGATGATAAACTTAATATTCTATATATTTTACAACTGAAAACAAGACAAACTATACATACACACTCATACACACACATATATATACACACATTTGAAATATATTTGTCTTCGGAGTTCATTTGGAAAAGAGAGGCAAGAGGAAAAGTGCACTTAGTTTATTGATAGTTTATCAACTGTGCTGTGAGCCAAATGGTTCCTCCAAAAGAAAATTTTTTATTATCCTAAATGAAATGACAAACACTTTCGAAATGTATCAGCTCTGGTATTAATTCTAAAAGACTAAGGGTAGTTTTCTTCTCATGTAAAATCTTGATCTAATTCCTTTTTAATGTTTTTTAAATATATTTTTATTTATTTCAGAGAGGAAAGGAGAGGGAGAGAGAGAGAGATAGAAACATCATCGATCGGCTGCCTCCTGCACACCCCCAACTAGGAATCAAGCCCACAACCCGGCCATGTGCCTCAATCGGTAACTGAACTATGACCTCCTGGTTCATAGGTCGATGCTCAACCACTGAGCCACACCAGTCAGGCTTGATCTAATTATTATTATTTTTTAAATATATTTTTATTGATTTCAGAGAGGAAGGAAGAGGGAGAGATAGAAACATCAATGATGAGAGAGAATCATTGATCGCTGCCTCCTGCACGCCCCCTACTGGGGATTGAGCCCACAACCCAGGCATGTGCCCTTGACCGGGATGGAACCTGGGACCCTGGAACCCTTTAGTCCAAAGGCCAATGCTCTATCCACTGAGCCAAACCAGCTAGGGCCTAATTATTGTTTTTAAGTCCTACAAGCCTATCTTATTCAAGAAAGCCACCAAGAAAAATAACTGGGCACTAGAAGAGCAGACAGAATATTATCAAGCCATTTTTGCCCCAAGCCAAAAAACAAATGTCAAATGCCTTAATTGATAAATTTTATAGAAAGCAGTTTAATTTGTGAACCCCATTTTTCAATCAATTTGGTCTGAATACTAACAGGGGTAATGGGCCAGATCATAGAACTAGGACTCCAAAAAACTTTTTTGAGATTAAAAAACCCCCACTATGTTCTATTGCTGGCTCTAGAAGGATCCCTATATTGAATTCTCAGTTGTCTCATCTCCAATACCATAATACTACTTTAAAAGAGCATATTGAGGCCCTGACTGAATAGCTCAGTTGGTTAGGACGTCATCCCGATATGCCAAGGTTGCAGTTTTGATCTCTGGTCAGGGCACATATAAAAATCAACCAATGAGCCCTATCCAGTTGCTTGAAACCCAGCCCCAGTCAGGGCATGTCCAAGAGGCAACCAATTAATTTATCTCTCTCACATTGATGTTTCTCTCTGTCTCCCTCCCTTCCACCCTCTCTAGAAATCAATGGAAAAATATCCTCAGGTGAGGATTAACACACACACACACACACACACACACACACACACACACACTCACCCACACCCACACACACAAAAGAATCAACCAATGAACGCATAAATAAGTGGTACAATAAATCAATGTTTCTCTCTCAAATTTTTTAAAAAAAGAATACATTGCCCTAACTGGTTTGGCTCAGTGGACAGAGGGTCGGCCTGTGGAATGAAGGGTCCCAGGTTCAATTCCGGTCAAGGGCATGTAGCTTGGCTGTGGGCACATCCCCAGTAGGGGGTGTGCAGGAGGCAGCTGATGGATGTTTCTAACTCTCTATCCTTCTCCCTTCCTCTCTGTAAAAAATCAGTAAAATCAATAAATATATAAAAATAAAATAAAGAGAACACACTGAGTGTTAATTAGAATTCAAGGCCCAACTAAATATAAATACAGTTTCTGAGGGGGCTTTTGTAAGTTATTTTCATTGTGAGTCCTTCTTCCTCCTTAAGATAATTTTTACTTACTTGGTCAACTTGTGGCTTTTCATTGCTGTGAGAAATTCCCTGACAATCTCAGGACTCTGGTGACTGCATGGTGTTTTTGATATGTATTTTAATGTCTACAAAAAAAAAAGGAAAAAGCCAATCTGAATGAGAAATAATTTAGTATTCCACAATTCTGTTTCAAAAATCTTCTGTAAAACAAATGCCTTCAGGAGAGTCCATCTTCATATAATAGGAATTCCTCAAAAAGTAAACCAGTAGCTAAAACAGAAAGAATAATGAAATTTCAGAAGAAAACTTTTCTGATCCTAAAAAGAAGAAAAAATTTAATCTGTCAATTGCATTATATTTCAGACAATTTTTAAATACAGGAAACTCAAAGAATAAAATAAATAGCCAATAATCCATATGGATATAAATGACTGAATAAATAAATTGATGAGAAATATCAACCATTTCTTATACAAGAATTCTAACCATTAAACATAAAAGAAATGAGGTAAACAAATCACTATTAGGCAGCTCCACCATAGTAATAATTACTGCAGCAAAGACCCACCAACGAATGCTAAAATTAATAGGCAAAAGATTAAGGAGAGCCCTGGCCCATGTTGCTCAGTGGTTAGTGTGTCAGTCTGTGCACCAAAGGGTCTCAGGTTCGATGCCTGGTCAAAGGTACATACCTGGGTTGCAGGTTCAATCCCTGGCCCCTGTTGGGCTTACAAGAGGCAACCAATCAATGTGTGTCTCTCACATCAATGTTTCTCTCTCCCCCTCCCTCCTTCCCTTCCACTCTCTCTAAAAACCAATGGAAAAAATATCATCAGGTGAGGATTAACAACAACAACAAAAAGTGCAAACATCAGGTTAGTCACACACTCCTCCATAACAACAAATACTAATAGATCAAGTACTTTGTATAGAGACCTACAAAATAATAGTTGAACCCAAGAGCTCCATATTCAAATGAATTGTCATTCACATTAAGAACTCCCTCCTCGAAGCACACCCATCCATGCCTTTCTTCCCTCTCAGGCAAAACTCTAAGAGCCCCCATGAGATTTGCAACCAGTGTAGCAATGGGAAAGGGCAGCTGTCCTGAGCTAACTCCCTGACCCTGTCTCCAAGGCCTCTTTTTCTATGAATTTTCAGTGAGCCGAAGTAGCCCCACCTAGGCTTTCTCCTATTGCTTCTTCTATCCTGAGCCCTTCCTGTGTTTCACTATTCCCAGTTTTAATAAACATACTCTCAAAATAAAATATTTTTTAAAAACACACTAGAAATATATTCTCAGGTATAAAACATCTCAAAACATTTAGTCCCATCCTAACCGGTTTGGCTCAGTGGATAGAGCATCAGCCTGCGGACTGAAGGGTCCCAGGTTCGATTCTGGTCAAGGGCATGTACCTTGGTTGCGGGCACATCCCCAGTAGGGAGTGTGCAGGAGGCAGCTGATCGATGTTTCTCTCTCATCGATGTTTCTAACTCTCTATCCCTCTCCCTTCCTCTCTGTAAAAAATCAATCAAATATATTAAAAAAACAAAACAAAAAACATTTAGTCCCACAGAAAGTTTTCTTAAGGCACCCCGTACTAAAAGCAAGAACTTAAGGAGTGGCAATGAGCTTAAACTGCTTAAATGTGTAGTTAAAAGTACATAGTAGTTGCCTTTGCCAGTTTGGCTCAGTGGATAGAACGTCAGCCTGCGGACCAAAGGGTCCCAGGTTCCATTCTGGTCAAGGGCATGTACCTCGGTTGCAGGCTCCTCCCAGGCCCGGGCCCTGGTCAGGGTGTGTGTAGGAGGCAACCTATCCATGTGTTTCTCTCACATTGATGTTTCTGTCTTTCCCTTTCTCTTACACTCTCTCTCAAAATCAATGGAAAAATATCCACGGGTGAGGATTAAAAAAAAAAGTACTTAGTAGTTTTTTTTAAATTAGTTTATAAAAAAAATTGCCAACATGTATTTTTTTCTTCTTTGAAAGGTATGAACTAGCCCTAGCTGGTTTGGCTCACTGGATAGAGTGTCAGCCTGTGGACTCAAGGGTCCCAGGTTCGATTCCGGTCCAGGGCACATGCCCCGGTTACAGGCTCAATCCCCGGTGGGGGGGTGGGGGTGGGGGGGGGGGTGAGCAGGAGGCAGCCAATCAATGATTCTCTCTCATCATTGATGTTTCTAACTCCCTCTCCCTTCCTCTCCGAAATCAATAAAAAATATTTTTAAAAAAAGAAAGGTATGAACTATATAATGTAAAAGAACATGAATGAATGATAGGATTTTAAATACATGATTAAATGAACAAAAGTGAATAAGGAGGAATAGTGACAAAAGTGCTAAACTCCTTATTTTCCTTAAAAGGGATTATGATAAGCTTAATTCAAATTTCATATCTTTGAGAAGAAAAATTAAAGAAATTAAATCCTTTATAGACAAAATCAGAACTGGAAGGAAATAGCAAGAAAACAAATTAAAATGACAGATTCAAACATCACCGCCCTAGCCGGTTTGCTCAGTGGATACAGTGTTGGCCTGTGGACCAAAGGGTCCCAGGTTCGATTCCGGTCAAGGGCATGTACCTCAGTTGCATGTTCCTCCCCAGCCTGGGCAGTGGTCGGCGCTTGTACAGGAGGCAACCAATCGATGTGTTTCTTCTCTCACATCGATGTTTCTCTCTGTCTTTCCCTCTCTCTTCCACTCTCTAAAAATCAATGGAAAAATATCCTCAGGTGAGAATTAAAAAAAAAAAAAAATCAAACATCACCTATAACAAATACAATGGCTTAAACTTTCTTTTTTAAAGACAAAGCATAAGGCTGGGAGAGAATGTAGCAAAATGTCCACTAGATCAAGATTATGAATTACTTTTTCTGTCTTCTTTATACTTTTTGGTACATTCTAAATTTTCTAGAATAGTAAGTATTACTTTGTGTATAATAAAGAATTTGACATTGCCCAAATCTGGCCTTTGACCTCAGCTTCTGGGAGGTAATCTCCACTCTTTGGAATGTTATAGCTTATAGAAGTATCTTTGTCTCAGACCTTAAATCATATTGGATAGTCTCAACAATGTGACTTAGGATAGGAGCTTTGGGTGATACAGTATCACTCAGCCTAAAGGCTGAGATGAGCTACATGGGCAATTAATTATTTAATCATGCCTATGTAATAGAGCCCCAATAAAATCTTCAGACACTGAAGCTCAGCTGAGCTTCCCTGGTTTATTGGTACAATATTCTGTGCATACTGTCACTTAACCACATTAAGAGAACAACATTCTGTATTAGGTATTTCTCTTGGAATCTGCCTTACTTGCTTCTTCCCTTGACCAATTTTACTCTGCACCCTTTCCCTGTAATAAACAGTAACCTAGAATATGATAGCATTCAGTGAGTTGTGAATACTTCTAGACAATTACTGAATCTGAGGGTGGTCTTGGGATCCCTGAATTGAAATTGGTATTAAAAGTGAGCGCGGTCTTATAGACTATTCCTCTAATTTTATAGTTGGCTAACCCTTGCAATTGGCCAAACTCTTTGCACTTTTATAAACAGAATAACAACAGGATTATAGTACAACTATTCAAATCAGATAATAGGCAAACTTGATTTGGTGGCTAGTCATTAGAAGAATAAACAAACCCTCCTCAAAGACAGTTCAGGTAGACCCTCCAGAAGCCTAGGCTTACTTCATAGGTGATAGTATTCAAGTTCTGTTGTCCAGTACTGTGTTTATTCTTTCCACTCTCTTTACGCTGTTCTTTCAGATCAGTTAGTAACTGGAACACCTAGGAAGAGATATACAAAAGATTTTTAAATTAGAGTTTGAGAAATATATCTATTCCAAGGTCATTGATTTTGAAGATAAAATAGTACGCCCCAACTCTTACATTAGAGCAAATATGAATCCAAGAAATATGTGACCTTTTAAAAATATTTTTATCGGCCGGAGCTCCAGTGGAGCAATCGGTTAGCACGCGGTACTTATAAAAATATTTTTATCTAAGTCAAATAATTCAAATTCATTAGTTCACTTAAAATATTTCAAATGTTTCCTACCAATATATACCATACTTCTGATCTCAAAAATATTTTGAGTATTTAAAAGTAAATTTTACTAAAATAAATAATTTTTAAAAATATATTTTATTGATTTTTCACAGAGAGGAAGGGAGAGGGATAGAGAGCTAGAAACATCAATGAGAGAGAAACATCGATCAGCTGCCTCCTGCATACCCCCCACTGGGGATGTACCCGCAACCAAGGTATATTCCCTTGACCAGAATCGAACCTGGGACCCTTCAGTCCGCAGGCCGACGCTCTATCCACTGAGCCAAACCAGTTAGGGCTAAAATAAATAATTAAAAACAAAAACAAAAACAGATTCTAGCCCAGCCAGCGTGGCTCAGTGGTTGAGCGTCAACCTATGAACCAGGAGGTCACGGTTCAATTCCCAGTCAGGGCACTTGCCCTGGTTGCGGGCTTGATCCCCAGTGTGGGACATGCAGGAGGCAGCCAATCAATGATTCTCTCTCATCATTGATGTTTCTCTCTCGCGTTCCTTCTCCCTTCCTCTCTAAAATCAATTTTAAAAAAAATAAAAATAAAGTGGATCCTACCTCTCTAATATGAAAATCTAGTATAGTTTATTTTGGGCAAGTGCCAAAATATAGTTTACAAAAAAGGGGGGGAGAGGGGGCCCTGGCTGGTGTTGCTCGGTGGTTAGAGTGTGAGCCTGCACACTGAAGGGTCTTAAGTTGGATTTCTGGTCAAGGGCACGTGCCTGGGTTACAGATTTGATCCCTGGCCCCATGTGGGAGGCAACCAAATTGATGTGTCTCTCTCACGTCGCTGTTTTTCTCTCTTCCCTCTCCCTCTCTCCCTCCCTTCCTCTCTCCATCCCTCTGTCTTCTTCTCTCCCTGCCTTTTTCTCTCTCCCTCTCTCCCTCCCTCTGACTCTCTCCCTCTGTTTCTCTCTCTCTCTTCCTCTCTTCCTCCCTCCCTTCCTCCCATTCCACTCTTTGTAAAAATCAATGGAAAAAATATCCTCAGATGAGGATTAACAAAAAAAGGGGGGGGGCGGGGAGGGAAAAATGCTATAGGACTTAATAAGTAAACTTTCCCCATAAGGGGAAAAACAAGTGTATTAGTGTTAAGAAGGGTGTGGGGCGTATATCTCTCTCCTGTTT